ATGTTGGAAAACTAGCTTTACTCGTAGCCTGAACAAATGTTACATGTTGGAAAACTAGCTTTACTCGTAGCCTGAACAAATGTTACATGTTGGAAAACTAGCTTCACTCGTAGCCTGAACAAATGCTACATGTTGGAAAACTAGCTTTACTCGTAGCCTGAACAAATGTTACATGGAAACTTAGCGCTTCTACCAATGACAATGACGTAACGTTACTTGAAACTTCACTACTGACATAGGCGATACATTAAAAAAACACTATTCAAAACATAAAAATATATTCCACTAATAAGAAATAGCGCTTATCTGTTGCGTATTTAGTTTTATTTTGTCTTTATATAAAATATTACCGACTTGAGCCTAAAATTCCTTTTTTGTACATACCATAACAGAAAACTTAATGGCAAACCGATCAAAGAAATTACTGTAATCCTGCATGTGAACTTATAACTGTGCTACACAAAACATAAAAAAAGATGGAATCATGTTCAAAGGTTTCTGTTCATTTTAAAACCCGTGTGTTACAAAAACCGTTATGTTCTACTAATAGTAGCAAATCAAGCGTTATTACAAACTTAAGGATTAACAAGTAAAGATTACTAAATGTAGATTTTGGTTTAAATCGCGCAAAAGTGTTCTGTTTCAGCGGAAGTAGCGAATCACAAAATATATTAGGCCTTTACATAATTTTTTCTTCACTAAAATTCCCGTTTTGGTGAAGAAAAGAAATTAACAGGTGTCGATTTTCTCAATATGCATTGTTTGTTAGAAACATAGTAAAATGACACCCTCTATTAGATTAAGCTGTTTCTTACGTAGCAAGCACTTCATCTTGTAATGTACACTTGTACGAAAAACATTACTTACCATATTGTCAACATCTAAACACGCACGTCATCTTTGTAATGTACGCTAGTACGAAAAACATTACTTACCATATTGTCAACATCTTAACACGCACGTCATCTTTGTAATGTACACTAGTACGAAAAACATTACTTACCATATTGTCAACATCTAAACACGCACGTCATCTTTGTAAAGTACACTAGTACGAAAAACATTACTTACCATATTGTCAACATCTAAACACGCACGTCATCTTTGTAATGTACACTAGTACGAAAAACATTACTTACCATATTGTCAACATCTAAACACGCACGTCATCTTTGTAATGTAAATCAGTACGAAAAACATTACTTACCATATTGTCAACATCTAAACACGCACGTTATCTTTGTAATGTAAATCAGTACGAAAAACATTACTTACCATATTGTCAACATCTAAACATGTACGTCATCTTTGTAATGGTCATTAGTACGAAAATCAAAACTTAACACATTGTCAACATCTGAGCATGTATTCCACTTTTGTAATGTTCACTAGTACGAAAAACATAACTTACCATATTGTCAACATCTGAGCAAGCATTTCATCTTTATAAAGGTCACTAGTACGAAAAATATAACTTACCATATTATCAGCATCTAAGCAACCACGCTGCCTTTATAATTTGCATTAGTACGAAAAACTTAACTTACCATATTGTTATTGTCTGAGTGTAATGATCGAAAAATAATCCTTAAAACTCATCTTGTGTTATAATCAGATATTAGCTTTTATTATTTCACACAAATCAGATCATGACAGATCTATTGCCTTTCTTTAAAGAATATAACACATAACTTTTGTTCATTATTTCACTTTTTTCGTAAAAAATTCTTATTGTTATACCCACAATACAGAAAACGTTTCAGAAATATATTTATATATATAAAACTATGAATAAGTACTGCAATCGTTAGAGATTTCTCTGCTTAATTAGTATAAACAGTTAGGATTTCCTTGCTTCTCTTCTAATAAATTACACCGAAACGTTATCTTTTATTTTACGAACATAATTTCCCATATTTTTTCATATTTCTTTTCTTTCATGAAACTGTTGTACAACAGAGAAGTGCAGTTTTGAATTTCCTTGCTTCTCTTCTAATAAATTACACCGAAACGTTATCTTTTATTTTATGAAAATAATTTCCCATATTTTTTCATATTTCTTTTCTTTCATGAAACTGTTGAAGTGAGGTCTGTATTTGACCGTTAGGACAACTTTCTCTGTGAACTATACAAATACATGCGGTGCTTTTTTATTTTTGTTTTCGAAAATACTGTATGCATTTAATTAAAGAATATTCTAGAAACACTAAAATGTGAATACTTTTAACCACCTACCCTTCCGTCAGTGCAGTTGAACAATGTCTTTAAAGCAGTTGAACCCTTGTCTGTATCAGCAGAGGTAGCTCACAGGATGAAGACCTTTTCCACTGGCTTTGTTTCTAAGAAATCACCACTTGTTCCCTGCTTATATTTCGCACGAACCTATGCTGGTAAAAAACTTTCCTTGCGTCAACTATCAACCTCAACTTTTTCGTCTTCACTGATTGGCTAACATAGTCAAACGTAGGGGAGGGGCGGGGGTTGCAGCAAACATTGAGAAACTACGCATGCCTGTCTAGCCATATCAATGATGCACTTTATATGTATTTAGAAATGCGAAACGTAAGATGAAGTATTGATCCACCACCACGAGAGGGCGAGCATGCTGACATCGCTTTTAGTTTCAGTAGGTTTTCGGTAAGTACATTCAGATTTCTACCTGTTGCTTTAGTGGATCCTTTAAGTTAACCTGTTCAGAAACGCTGATCTTTATCGATATAATATTTACAGAAAACTGTTTTTGCGTGATCTGTAGCACAACATCTTCGGTTGTTTTTCATAAGTCTTATGTAAGTGACTGAATCTCACAGATAGAAACAATGAAAACATGATCTGAAAATTTCACAGTTGCAAATGTTTTGTATAAAGGGGATTTAAAAATCTTTTATTCTCAACATCATCAAAAGTTCCGTAACTTATAATAGACAGGTGTTTATTTGTCTGTTTAATATCTTTATACTTTTTTTTTGCAAAATTGAGGATAAACAAGAGTATTTCATAGGCATCATCGAAACCTTGGTCGTAATAAATGACGTATTCGTGAAACGTACAATTGTCTTGTTTTTCCTCAATTCAATTTTCCTCATGGAGTTTCAAGTATCGATCATGTTTATACTTTTTAATAATGTTATATCGATTTAATGCTTTAGTGTATATCTGCTAAATATTTTCTCGTTATCTTAAAGCGTTAGGTAGTCCTTTTGTTTGTTTTTGAATTGCGCGCAAAGCTACACGAGCTCTATCTGCGCTAGCCGTCCCTAATTTAACAGTGTAAAACTAGAGGTAAGGCAGCTAGTCATCACCACCCACCGCCAACCCTTGGGCTACTTTTTTTACCAACGAATAGTGGGATTGACCATTACATTTTAACGCCCCCACGGCTGAAAGGGCGAGCATGTTTGGTGTGATGGGGATTCGAACCCGCCACCCTCTGATTGCGAGTCGAGCGCCCTAACCACCTGGCCATGCCGGGCATATTCCTTTTGAATATTTGTTTTACGCCGTTTTAACCCGCTTTTGTAAGTTTACATTGGACGGGTTACATTATATGGCAACTATTAAATAATATCTAGTAAAAAACTGGCACTGTTATGGGGGATTTAACTCATATAGTACCTACGTTTTGAATGTTAATGTAAAACATAAGTTATTTTTCGTAGGCTTTACGTTTTGCGGCTATAATTAATTTTAACACTTTACCCCCCCCCCCACAATTTTGTGTCCAAAGTATTGTTTATATGTCATTTTAGTCCTTGAATTTACGTTGCTTAGAATACTGTTCATAAATCACTTTAGTTGATGAGTTACCCGGTAGGACAGCGTTAAGTTTACGTGTTCGCCAATCAGTCCAATAAGGCTATGCTCTAAAAGAAACAAATTTAGTCATTGCTATTTATATCCATCATCGCCTTTGACAGTACACTAGTCTTCAGAATAATGTCCATAAGTCACTCTAGTCACTGTACAAACGCGGTTAATATTACAGTTTATAAGTAGTTCATTTTAACACCATCAGACCTATCTATTTAAGCTATTAGGCCTAGTAAGATTTTTTCTTATTATTTGAAATTCCCTTTATCTTGAAAGCGTAATGGTGAAAAGAAAACAAGAAACAAATACCATGCAAACATTTACTCCACATTAACTTCCTGATCAAGAGGAGCAAGCACTGTTGTAGGTTTCGTCTTCATTCATCTAATGAGTTATGCTAATGAGCAATCCAACTAATATCTCTCTGAATTCATTGCTCTGTTTATCTGCAGGTTTAAAAAGATGCGGAAACAAAAACTGGGTCATGAATTAAGAGATAAAATTAGACAATATTCGTCAAAACAATTAAATATTCATTTCCCCCCACCCCACCCCAAAAATATTCTGGAATGTATATATTTTTTTTTACTATACTCGATCCATCTTTATTTATGTACTCCAAAATATAATCAATAACTATTCGTGTTTATTTCTTAAAGTGAGAAAAATGTGAAATAAAACTGCAACCCTTTTCAATAGGCTTTGGAAATGTGTTAGCCTTCCACATACCCTCAGTTTATTCAAACTCCAAGCTGCAGTTTAGATTTGAGGATCATAAGTCAGGTCTAACAGGTGTTTTCTGTGTATTCTTCAGAAGGTAATCATATATTCAATTCTGTCCGATTAGAAGTAAGATGGGACAATCTTGTATTTGATTCTAGGACATAAAAGATGACTGTAACTTGTTCGACGTATATTAATAATGTTTGGTTAGGCGATAGGGAATGGCAAGAAGTTGTAAACTTGTGATTACAAGGGTAAATTTCCTATAAAAGTGTTTTCCTAGTGTCCTGTAACTTTGATTGCCCATGCTTTTCTGAGTACATTGATGTCCATAAAACTTTAGGATCATAGGCCAAAATATACAATGCAACGAGATAACGTTGTTGATTTGTCCAAAAGATCTTGTGGGGAAAAAAATGTTTTATTAAAGTTTGTCATTATCTGTAGGAAAAGTAAACAGAAACGTGATCACCTGAAATCCGAGTTTCAGTTACACAATTTAATAGATTTTATGATTCTTCGGATTTTTCACAATATCATATCTTACAGTGTTATACTATATTCTATACATCTAATGGGAAGTTAGAGCTCAGGAATCTCTGAATATACATTTCTGTTTAACAGAGTACAAATATGAATGATATTGTTAATTACGTTGGTCACACTTAATACTTATGATATTAAGTTGTTAAAAAACAATTTTCAATTCAGTATAATTTTTAGAATGTTATATATATCTGAGCCGGACATGGACTAGCGTCCACCGTGCCTGGTTGCGGATCAAAGGTTCGAGCCTTGACTATACTGAACACGCTTCGCACTTTCTACTGTGGCGCGTTATAAAGTGAAAATCAACCCCACTATTCGATTAAAAGTGGCTTCCTCGGCGACGGGATCTGTTGACCGACTGCCTCCTTATGGCCAGTAGTTCAGTATTAGGACAGCTATACTTGAGCACTAGAATCCCTGACTTACCGTTAGGCCATTAGTGATTTAAAGATGTCGTTTGGGCTGTAAGTGTGTGTGTCGTATTTTAAGAACATTTACATACTGTTTGTTTTATACATTTTATACTGTGAAACATCTATAGTTAATTCTTTGTTTGACCAACATATTAAAGGTTCAGTTTTGAATGAATTACTTATATAACGTTATACAAAATGGTGATTTTAATCAACAAATAACGTGCGACAATGTACAATAATAATGAAATATTAACCTAAACTTATGGATCTTGATGATGCCAATGATGAAACTAATATTTAAATTACGAAAGCTTTAATAAGAGTTGATAAAAGTTAAAACACTGTTGCGAGATTAAGTATTCACTAAAATTGAAATTCAAACCATAAAATAAATGAAGTGATAATTAAGACAGTGATATATTTGCTAGAACATTTATTATAAAATTATAGGATCGTTTAAAGCCAAGTGGGAATGATAAATCAGTAATTGATGGATAGTATACCCTTATAAATAAGGCTTTTAATCTCATTTCTTGTTCATTGTGTAGACTCGATTCCTAGATATTTAACGACGACACATCCTCGTGCACTTAAGCGTAGACACCGCTAGGAGGAGGGCCTACTCTTCACAAACTCAAACTACCGATTTGTTTTTATACTGTTTACTACCGGTGGGGTTCACATATTGCCTCCTGTTACTGTTATGTTCTTGCTTGTTACAACATACAGTGTTAAGAACTGTAATGTTTATTGGAGATTTTTAAAACATTTTTTTTTCCGGTAGAAATATTACATAATTACACATATTAATTACACATAATTACACATACACTTCTATAAAACCTTATACTTAGGTTTATATATTTTTCCACAAGTAACCGAAGAAAACGTACAATCCTTATTTGTTATTACAACAGCCAACTATTGTGGCAACGTGTCTCTGGATGCAGCTTTTGTTATTGTTGTTACCACACATAATGTTAGGTATTATGCTACAAGGAAGTAATAGTGTATTCGAGAATGTATGAAATGTCATTTGTTTTAGCAGATATTTCACGAGTTTTCAAGAAAGTTCTACCACAGCTCGTGAAGCAGTATCACACTTGTGAATTACTTTCGCGCGCTCTGAGCTTCCAAGAGTTTAGTCTCGTTATGTTTCTCCTATGTAACGTTTTCCGCACTATTACATGTTTTTTCACTACATTTTTCTCGTGTCATGCTTCTCTTAAGCATTGTTGAGCATTTAAACAGTTTTTGTTGTTGTTCTTGCTAGCTGTATCCTCAAATAAACCGAGATCAAAAGAAAGAATATTTAAGTGTTGCTTTTTTCTCGAGGTTTAGAATATTTTATGAGTTAATATACTGGTAAAAAGTACTGAGTTTGTGTGCGTAACAGGTTTATCTTGCGACTGCGTAATAATGATAATATAGTTCAGTTTATTATCATTTTTATTGATATATATTTCGTCGACGTTAAGTTTTGGAAGACTAAAGTTTGAGCTGCGATGTCCGCTGAACGCTCCCTTCACATATATTGTAACAATAATAATTAGTCTCTTGTTCGTTTCAGATTCTGACAGTGCCCTTGTGGCTTTGACTGCTACAAACCAGCTGCTCTCCTTCTGATTATTAGTTCCAAAATTAAGGACGGTCATACCTGAACTCTAAGGATTTATGGCCTGGTCGTTTAGCCAATGTGCTCATAGGGTGCCACTCAGCTTGAAAACACCAGTTTATCATAGGGTGTTATCGTTATATGACTTTAAGTAGATAATTAAAATTAATGCACACAAAACACAACTCATATTATTTGCAAAATCGTACAAAACAAGCAAATTAATACCACAGTTATACCT